CAACTTTACATTTCACGTGTGAGTTTTGACCTGTTATAGATTGATACACCAATTAAACATTCTTCTTAGAATTTTGTCTAAAATAATAGTATATGTGTGTTGAATAGGGGTGGTATAGCATCCTTATATAAAATAATTTTATTGCACACCTATGTTATATTTATGCTATATATTCAGAGAACTTTCAATTTATTTCCTGGTCTTTTGCTGGGCCTGGGAAGTTCAGATTGTTGAAAGTGACTTTCCTTATAAACTGCATTGCTCTGGGGCAGACAGAGTCAAATAAAACTCAGTCTGGTCCCTGGAGGTGGGCTATCAATTTAGGGACAGATTCAGTGGTGGGTACTGAGATCAATGCACATTGTAACTCAGAAGACTGTCACCAAAATCCAGAGATTTGATGCACTTTTGTTATGGGATCTTTTTATAGGTCATACAGCCATTTACCTTCATCAAGTTCATTTCTCATAATTATCTCTTGTATTGCTTCCAGATTTAAAAAGCTGTAAGAATATTGGTATTTACCCTAGAGAGTATTTTGCCCTTTTCCATATATGGACAGTTTTACTTCTTTCAAATTCTTACTTCCTAAAGGAAAAACTTAGTCTTAATGAAGACTCAAATTTTGTGCAGTTATTATACATGCCTACAATACATTAATTTTCCCCACCCAGGTCATTCCAGTTTCCTTAAAACTCCTGTCTATACGGAATTTACACATTTAAGTGGATTTCTTAGTACTTCAGTGAGCAAAAAGCCAACTAGCTTGTCATCAAAGTGGTCCTTTAATCACATTCTTTTCTTTCAGTTTATTTGGGCTAGTTCTTCGATCACTCCTCAATTTACCCTCTTCATATTTGCCAATACTTGTTGATAGTCAAAATTATGTTGCAACTCGATTCATAGATAGGATCTTTCAGAGATGGCGCCAAACACAGTAAACTTTCTTTGTTCCACCCTGTAAACATGTGATACATCAAAAGAAAAAGAAAAATTACTCCTACAGATTGTGTGATGTAGAAAAGTGAAACTATCAGTCAGAGGTATGAAAATGTTAATCCCTTTAGAAGTCTCTCTGTACTTTTTTTTCTGCACAAGCAGAAAATGTGGTTCATTTCCTGTTGAATTCTAAGTATTTCATCTCTGAGATTATCTTTCCTATTTCTTTCCTAACTTATTCATCACAATCCCCAACATGTTTCTTGGTGGCACTTGGTATCTTGTTCTACATTTATAAATAGATCCTTTCATTTTTGTTGTTGTTGTTCAGTCTCTCAGTCATATCTGACTCTTTGTGACCTCATGGACTGCAGCATGCCAGGCTTCTTTGTCTACCATCTCCCAGGGCTTGCTCAAACTCATGTCCATTGAGTCGGTAATGCCATACAACCATCTTTTCCTGTCATCCCCTTCTCCTGCTGCCTTCAATCTTTCCCAGCAACACGGTCTTTTCTACTAAGTCAGCTCTTCCCATCAGGTGACTAAAGTATTAGAGCTTCAACTTCAGCACCAGTCCTTCCAATGAATATGCAGGACTGATTTTCTACAGAATTGACTAGTTTGATACCCTTACAGTCCAAGGGACTCTCAAGAGTCCTCTCCAATGCCACAGCTCAAAACCATCAATTCTTCAGTGCTCAGCTTTCTTTATGGTCCAACTCTCAGATCCATAAATGATTACTGAAAAAACTATAGCTTTGACCAGATGGACCTTTGTTGGCAAAGTAATGTTTCTGGTTTTTAATATGCAGTCTAATTTGTCATTGCTTTTCTTCCAAGGAGCAAGGGTCTTTGAATTTCATGGCTGCAGTCACCGTCTACAGTGATCTTGGAGCCCCACAAAATAGTCTGTCACTGTTTCCATTGTTTTTCCATCTATTTGACATGAAGTGATGGGACCAGATGCCACAGTCTTAGTTTTTTGAATACTGAGTTTAAGCCAGCTTTTTCACTGTCTTTTTTCATCTTCATCGAAGCTCTTTAGTTCTTCACTTTCTTCCATAATAGTGGTGTCATCTGCATGTCTGAGGTTGTTGATATTTCTCCTGGCAATCTTGATTCCAGCTTGTGATTCATTCAGCTCTGCATTTCTCATGATGTACTCTGCATATAAGTTAAATAAGCATGGTGAAACTATACAACCTTTACATATTCCTTTCCCAATTTTGAACCAGTTTGTCTTTCCATGTCTGATTCTAACTGTTGCTTCTTGACCTGCATACAGATTTCTTAGGAGGCAGGTAAGGTGGTCTGGTATTCCTATCTCTAAGAATTTTCCACAATTTTTTTGACCCACACTGTCAAAGGCTTTAACATAATTAATGAAGCAGAAGATGTTTTTCTGGAACTCTCGATTTTTCAATGATCCAACAGATGTTGGCAATTTGATCCCTGGTTCCTCTGCCTTTTACAAATCGGATTTGAACATCTGGAAGTTCTTGGTTCACATACTGTTGAAACCTAGCTTGGAGAATTTTGATCATCACTTTGCTACCATGTGAAATGAATGCAATTGTGTGGTAGTATGAACACTCTTTGGCATTGCCCTTCTTTGGGATTGGATTGAAAACTGACATTTTCCAGTCCTATAGCCACTTCTGAGTTTTCCAAATTTGCTGGCATATTGAGTACAGCATATTGAGTACAAACATCCAGAAATGGAAAGAAGGATGGGCTACAGAAAAGGAATTTTAACCCATTAATGGAGCCTAAAGAAATTCTTGGAAAAAGAGAATAAGTAACGAATCAGATAAATAAATTCAGACTTATTTTATTAGCCCTTTATAGTCTTATATACTGACTTCCTCCTCAGCTAAGACCTTCGAGGGCAGAATCATGCCATCTCTTTTAGTATCTACAGCACCTACCAGTGTACCTAACAAATAATGCTCAATATTTTCTTGGTAGTGAAAGGAATGGGTCCTGTAGGAGGCTGTATCTTCCTGTTTTCCTCAGGCCTCTCCTTTTAGATCTTTCTTGCTATTTCAAGTGTGTAGCAAACAAGCCAGAAGAGAGCCATTTGGATATACTTTTGTTTTAAAATAATTATTTTCTTACTCTTTTAAAAAAATAATAATTCTTCTATTTATTTTTTTCACTTATCCAATATTTCTGAGCAGCTGATCTGTGTTAAGGCATTGCTCCATGTGATAGCAATACAGCAATGAACAAAACAGCATACCTTATCATATGCCAGACACTTTGTTAAATGCTTTGGACTTCATTTACATTATCTCAATTACTGATTAAAACCCCTGTGGGGAGGATAAGGATATTTTCTTCAATCTGAAAATGAAATTTCAGAGACTCAAAGCTTAATTAAATTTCCTAGGATCTCACAGCTCAGAAGGAGAAAACAGGAGTCAATGCAAGTTTAGCTGACTCTAATATTTATGCTCTTAATTGCTAGGCCTGATGGTTCAGATGGTAAAGAATCTGTCTGCTTGACTGACCAACTAACACCAATTCTAGACCATGAATAAAGAAATGGGAATTACATAGATCAGAACTTGAATTGTAAGAATTAGTCCAATAAATGTTAATAGTATTTCATGAAAATTTTTAAGAACCAAGTTTTATGAACTTTAATGAATAGCAACTTATTCTTCCCCATATTAAATCTGCCACAGATTTTCTTACCAGGAATAATTTAATTTAACTCCTGTAAACAACTCTTTGAGAAGCATCCAGAATGTGCATTGTTCACACTCATTTTCATTTGTTCACCATCTAGGCAGACTTTGACAGCAAATTTATCTATAACAGGATACTATGGACAGTTTTACTTTACAAATGAAGCAAAGCAGTTCAGATTTTTATCCAGATTAATTAATAATATTTTCATTCCTTCAAAAACTGCACTGAAAGTCAGCTATGTACCTTTATTAGGTTACAAAAATAAAATAAATAGAACTATACTCCCTTAGACCTTACATATGGGAGTCGAGGAAATGAAAAATGAATTTAAAAGATAATTCTGATGATGCTTAGTGCTATGAAAAACTGTGAAGAATCTGTGAGTAGGGTGGGTATAGGATAGGAAGGAGGAAGGCCTCACTGAAGAGATTTTTTTTTTTTTTTGAGCTGAGTCCTACATGGTGAGAAGGAGTCAGCCATATAAAGTTATGGGAGATAAAAAGAAAATGCAAAAGTAAAAAGCACAAACAAACATCATCTGATGAATAACTGAGAAAAAGGCTTTTGGCCTACAAGAGAGCGAACTGAGGGAGGGGCAAGAGATTAATAGAGTGATAGATGAGACCAGATCACATGGGTCCTACGTGTATGACTTGGTAATACATTATCTAAACAAAGACATATTTAATAATAGAGATATTCTTAATAATTATACCAGGACAAAAGGTATTAATCTGGAATTTCCTAGATATACCAGCTGTTTAGATGATTTTAAGCAGAAAAGTGAGATAATGTGGTTTGCATTTCATAGGTCACCACACTGACTGCTTCTGATCAATCTTTGCAGTAATCCTGATAAGAAGTGAAAGTGGCTTCCATGAGATTAATAGTAACAGAGCTGCAAAGAACGTCAGTAATTTCAGATATATTTTATAGATAATGTAGACAAGATGTGGGTTGGATGTGTTAGGAGTGAGAGAAAAAGAAGAATAAGAGTAAGTGCTAGGTTTTTAACTGCAACATCTAGATGAATTAAGATACCATTTCCTGATTTTGAAAAGATGGCAGAGGAACTGGTTTTAGTAAATGTTTGCAAATGAGTAGAACCAGCAGTCTGATTCTGACTGTATTGAGTTTGAGATTCTGGTTAGAATTACAAGTGGATATATTAAAATACCAGCTGGGATATACTCTCTTTTCTTACCTGCTTATTAGAGCATTTTTGCATTGTAACATATATCCTCAATAAAACAATTTAAAATGGAATTCAAATAGTCCACTAAAGTGATTTTTTTACTCAGCAGTAATTTTTTTTTTCACTATCTGGTGTTTTAAATTGCTAATGTTACTTATTTCCTTTCTAGGAAAGTATAGATCTGGGTGAAATCATGTTTTCCCTTTGTTATTTGCCAACTGCTGGACGTATGACATTGACAGTCATCAAGTGCAGAAACCTGAAGGCTATGGATATCACTGGCTCATCAGGTATGTTCACAATTGGCTAACGGTTACATTCTCAAACAAACATGCCATATAGCTGAAATTATGAGTGGCTACCGAATTATTAAGTTCATTTGTCTGTTGTGGGCCACTATGTGCTAAGTTGCTTCAGTTGTGTCCGACTCTTTGTGAACCTATGGACTGTAGCCCACTAGGCTCCTCTGTCAATGGGATTCTCCAGGCAAGAATACTGGAGTAGGTTGCCATTTTCTTCTCCAGGGGATCTTCCCAACCCAGGGTTTGAACCAGCATCTCTATGTCCTTTGCTTTGGCAGGTGTGTTCTTTACCACTAACACCACCTGGGAAGGCTTGGGGCACTATAGAAGTAGAAAAAAGAGATTATCAACTAAAGTGTTCTAAACACCTCTTTAGTTTACATCATCATTATGACATTTTTGAAAGGTATTATCAAGTAGATTGCCTTTGGACTTGGGTTTATATCTTAATTTCTTTCTCTACTGATTTAGTTCTTTCACAAAAAATGTGTAACTTACCATACACTTTGGGACTTCCCTTGTGGCTCAGCTGGCAAAGCATCCACCTGCAATGTGGGAGCTCTGGGTTCGATCCCTGGGTTGGGAAGATCCTCTGGAGAAGGGAAAGTCTACCCACTCCAGTGTTCTGGCCTGGAGAATTCCATGGACTGTATAGTCCATGGGGTTGCTAAGAGTCAGACACGACTGAGCAACTTTCACTACTTACAGCTACTCAGTTGCTTCTAAAGGAAGATGCTTGGACTACAGGCTTCCCTGGTGGCTCAGAGAGTAAAGATTCTGCCTTCAATGTAGGAGACCTGGGTTTGATCCCTGGGTCAAAAAGATCCCCTGGAGAAGGGAATGGCTATCTACTCCGGTATTCTTGCCTGGAGAATTCCATGGACAGAGGAGCCTGGAGGGCTACAGTCCATGGACTCATAAAGAGTTGAGCACAACTGAAGTGACTGAGCATGCATGCATGCAGGAACAGAGAGAGATAATAAAGTAAATGAACACACCTTAAAGTTTCTTAAATACATTCTTGGAGGAAATTTCTCTTTTTCTAGATTTGATAAAGAGGTAAAACCCCATCATTCTCTTTAATCCCTTCATTTAAATCACCACAGTTCTAGAGAGTTATTTGTAAGTTAATAGTGAACTTTGGAACAGCTCTGTAGAAGAAAAAATGATAAGGACAGAGTAGGGAGGTCAGTAGCATTTATTGAATTAAATAAGTAAGAAATAATAACATAGATATAGTAAAAGATGACATGGGGAGTGCAATCTATAACATTCTGGTTCTTCAGAGCAAAATAAACTTGCATCACAAAAAGTATTAAGAACACTAATGTAGAAAGGATTCCAGGAAAAACTAACTGAATAAAAAATGAAGTACAAGCATAAATATGGATATCATGCTCCTTTCGATATAATAATGTGGAATCTTAGAATCTATGTCATGTTGCTAATATTTGCATAAAGAAATACTTGAGTGATATATAAAAACTGAGGGGTGGAAAAGTAAGGGTATAGATGGGAAGGAGACTTCTCATTGCACGTCTTTCTCTGTCTCATCTTTTAAAATTTGTTATGAATTTTTATTCATTTTTTAAAATTTGCAATGCATAGTTGAAATATAAAGATAGAAAGAAAAGAAATTAATTTCACATTCATTTTGGTGAAAAAGTTTTAAGTAAACAAATATGGAAGAACTTAAGATAAACAATGCATTCTGAAAATTGTTGTTTATTTTGCTCTTTCTACCATTTATTGAAAGAGAACCAAATTTCCAGACAAGCAAACAGCAAAGTTGTAATTAAGTTCAAGAATATTTTTTTATTTATATGAAGCTTCTCATCAGGGAAGTGCATGCTTTGAGAACATCACCTCATTAAGTCTCACAACAGCCTTGTGAATCAAGTAAGGAACCCGTAAATTATCTTTATCACTAATAGAGAAATGTCATCAGGGACATGATGGGGGTAGTAAATGATAAACCAGGCCTCATTCTCACTGTTAATAAGAGGCTTAGGCCTGGGGCTCATACCACAAAAGTGAGTTTCTTCCTTAGAACATAGTTCCTATTATTAAAAATATATAGGGATGTTTCTATTTTGCAAATAAGTTCATTTATATCATTTTTAGATTTGCATATAAGCAATACCATGCAGTATTTATCTTTCTCTATCAGACTTATTTCACTCAGTATGACTTCTCTAGGTCCATCCATGTTACTGTGAATGGCATTATTTCATTCTCTTTTAATAACTGAATAATATTCCATGAATATTATTTAATAACTGAATTCATATTCCGTGGAATATGAATAATATTCCATATATATATATATCACATGTTCTTTATCCATTCCACGATCAATGGACATTTATTGTAAAACAGTGTTGCAGTGAACATTGGGATACATGTATCCTTTCGACCATGTTTTTCTCTGGGTATGTGCACAGGAGTGGGATTGCAGGGTCATATGGTAGCTATATTTTTAGTTTTTGAAGTGAAGTGAAGTGTTAGTTGCTCAGTTGTGTCTGACTCTTTGTGACCCCAGGGGCTATAGGCTGCCAGGGTCCTCTGTCCATGGGATTTTCCAGGCGAGCATACTGGAATTCTTAAGGGGAAAAAGGAATGGGTAGACACTCCCTTCTCCAGGGGATCCTCCCAGCCCAGGGATCAAACCTGTGTCTCCAGCACTGTGGGCAGATTCTTTACTATCTGAGCCACCAGGGAAGACCCAGTTTTTGAAGAAACCTTCAGAGTGGCTGTATCAATTTACATTTCCACCAACATATTAGGAAGATTCCCTTCTTTCCACACTCTCTCCAGCATATGTTTTTTGTTGACTTTTTGATAATAGCTATTCTGACTAGTGTGAGGTGATATCTTATTGTAGTTTTGATTTGTATTTCTCTAAGTAATTCGCAAGGTTGAGCATCTTTTCATATGCCTTTTGGCCATCTATATGTCTTATTTGGAGAAATGTCTATTTAGATCTTCAGCCCATTTTTTGATTCGGTTGTATTTCATAAATTTTTATTTATTTCTTTATTATTTATATTTTTGCTGTATTGGGTCTTTGTTGCTGCATGTGCTTCTCTCTAGTTGAGGTGAATGGGAGCTACTCTGTAGAGACCATTTGGGTTTCTCAATGTTGTGGCTTCTATTGTTGTGGAGCATGGGCTCTAAGGCTCATGAGCTTCAGTAGTTACTGCATGTGGGCTCAGTAGTTGTGGCTCCTGGGCTCTCTAGTGTATAGGCTTAAGAGTAGTTGTGGCTACTTCCATGGAAGTGGGATCTTCCCAGATCAGGGACTGACCCCATATCTCCTGCATTGGCAGGTGTATTCTTTACCACTGAGCAACCAGGGAAGCCCTGGGTTGTTTGTTTTGATGATGTTAAACTGCATGAGCTGTTTGTAAATATTGAAAACAAACCTCTTGTCAGTCACATGATTTGCAAATATTTTCTCCATTTCTGTGGATTGTCTTTTAGTTTTGTTTATTGTTTCCTTTGCTATGCAAAAGCTTTTGAGTTTAATTAGGTCCCATTTGTTTATTTTTTGCTTTTATTTCCATTACTGTGAGAGACAGATCAAAAAAAAGATGTTGCTGTGACATGTCAGAGAGAGTTCTGCCTATGTTTTGCTCTAAGGTTTTTTTTTTTTTTAATTAATTAATTTAAATTGGAGGCTAATTACTTTAAAATATTGTAGTGATTTTTGCCATACATTGACATGAATCAGCTATGGGTGCTCTTAGAGTTTTATAGTGTCTGGTCTCACATTTAGGCCTTTAACCCATTTTGAGCTTATTTTTGTGTATGCTGCTAAAGAATGTTCTAATTTCATTTTTCTTAGCATATTGCTGTCTAGTTTTCCCAGCACCATTTATTGAAGAGACTATCTTACCTCCCTTGTTTCATTGTTTAGTTTTTCCACTTTTGTCATAGATTAATTGACCATAGGAGCATGGGTTTATTTCTGGTTTTTCCATCCTGTCCTGTTGATCAATATTTCTGTTTAAACAAACTCACAGATTTAGAGAACAAACTTATGGTTACCAGGGGGAATGGGTGGGGGAAGGAATAGTCAGGGATTAGGGGATTGATATGTACACAATGCTACTGATATACACAACCTGGGCCTCCCTCATAGCTAAGTCAGTAAAGAATCTGCCTGCAATTCAGGAGATCCAGGGTTGAATTCCTGTGTCAGGAAGATCCTCTGGAAAAGGGAATCGCAAGCCACTCCAGTATTTTTGCCTGGAGAATCCCATGGACAGAGGAGCCTGGCGGGCTGCAGTCCATGGGGTCTCAAGAGTCAGACACGACTTAGCAACTAAACCACCACCACACCCTGCTATATTTAAAATGGATAACCAACAAGCAGCTACTGTATAGAGAAGATAAGTCTGCTCAATACTGTAACAACCTAAATGGGGAAAGAATTAGAAAAAGAATGAACTGAAGTGAACTCACTCAGTTGTGTCTGATTCTTTGCCATCCCATGGACTGTAGCCCACCAGGCTCCTCAGTCCATGGGATTTTCCAGGCATGAATACTGGAGTGGGTTGCCGTTTCCTTCTCCAGGGGATCTTCCCAATCCAGGGATCGAACCCAGCTGGGTCTCCTGCATTGTAGGCAGATGCTTTACCATCAGAGCTACCAGGGAAGCCCAGAAAAAGAACAGATGCATGTATATGTGTAACTGAACTGCTTTGCTGTAAACCTAAAACCAACACAACTTTGTTAATCAACTCTGTATGTGTGTTTGTTAGTCACTCAGCTGAGTTTGCAACTGTATGCCAATATAAAATTAAAAGTTTAAAAAAATACAGTCATTGAATATTTCCCTTTTACCTTGTTTTCCTCTAGATACCTTATTTCCAGCCACAAAATGTGTTTTGACCCCTTGGTACAAATGCTTATGAAATATACAGATAATTTTTCTAGAATCTAAAAAACATTAATTTCATTCATTTGCTGAAATAAATTAATGT